TTCCCCACTCTCTGTTCCCACAGCTGCTCTGCAGAAGGATCGTGGGAGGTGGGGGGCAGGCGAGCGCCGAGACAGGGCCAGCAGCCCGGGTTTCCAGCAAGGTGTAGCCTCTGTGTATCTCTGGGGGGACTCTGCCCAAGATGGGGAAACTGAGGCTCTGGGAAAGGCTGGGTCTGTTCTCATTCTCTGCATGCAGAGTTGGAATCCTGCCTCGCTTGCAATGTACCAGCCACGTCTCCCTCTTTCTCTGGCTCCAAAATCTCCCATGGCTCCCCGGGGACCCTCTACACAAACGCACACATCTCCACCTCCTCATGTCTCCCAAGGCCCTGCACATCTCCTGCAATTTCATATCAGGTTCTCTGGCCACCCCAGCTCCACATTGTTCTTCTAGTAAAACGTTCATCCCGACCTCAGGACCTTTGCACGTGCTGTGTCCCCTTCTGCTCCTATCTCTCAAGGTGACAATTTTAGAAATCATGGGTGGTCATGCAGAGAGCCACCTAGGAGACAGGATTTGAACCCAGGTCCATCTGAGACTCTCCCTTCTCCAAAGTGCCCTGCAAGGCAATGTCACAGTTTAGGTTTGTTTTAATTTCTTTTCATTTATTTATTTTCTTGAGACAGGGTCTCTCTATGTAGCTCAGACTGGCCCTGAATTCGCAGCAATCCCCCTGCCTCAGCCTCAGGAGTGCTAGGATGAGGGACATGAACAAAAACACATTTGAAGTTCTCTTTCAGGTCCACTGCTCAGTGAAGCTGGTTGACCCCCAGACTCTGAGGTTGTCTTGCCTAGGTGCCAAAGACCCTTGGGTCACCTCCCCAGCCCCCGTCCCATTCCTGCTCTGATACATCCCCAGAGTCCCTCCCAGTGTGGCCGAAATTTCTCTGGCCCACTTTTTGCCCTACAAGGATGTATTTGCCAAAAATAACCCTGCAACCTACCTCCTGAAAATGGGCCGGCCCCACCCGACCACCTGGCACCAGGAGGCAATTAGCACACATGGTAAATGAGGGTAATTAGATCTGTGGGAACACACTGCCATCCAGCTCCCAGAACCATCTCCTCCAGCTCAGCAGGGCTGCCCTCTGCTCCCTCGGGCCCCTTGTGTGAACCATCTGAGCTCGGCTGCTGCCCCTCCCTTCCCCATGCCCCCACCCTGAGCTACCGGGCCACACTCAGACTGTGGCAATCAAGTTCTGACTGTTCTGGAGCTCTGTAGACCAGGCTAGACTCAAACTCACAGAAATCCACCTGCCTCTGCCTCCCGAGTGCCAAAATTAAAGGCGTGTGCCATTGCCTCCCAGATAAGAAATGTTTTAAATCTAAAAATTTAATTATGACCAGGCAGTAAGTGACTCACACCTTTAATTTCAGCACTCAGGAGGCAGAAACAGGCAGCTCTCCAAATTCATGGTCATTGTGATCTACAGAGCAAGTCTGGGGCGGGAGACCTGGAAAGAGATCTGTGCCTTGTTGGGCTTATTTTAGGTGCTGGGAAAAAGAGGGAACAGTAACCAGCCACACCTTAAATGGCTCTAGGGTCACCAAAACCTGTGCTGGAGGCTGAAAGGGAGCTCGGGAGAGAGGGACTGAACCCCCAGAGACAGTTTTGCTCCGGTTCAGCAGCTAGGTTAGAGAGAGCCTGACTGGAAGCCATTGCTCACATGCAGCCTCTCCGGTGCTCAGTGGTCTGACCTGCCATCTGCTGTCCCTCCCGTGCACAGGAGACTCATTCCTTCACTGTTGCTCAGCCACAGGGACAGGAGCCACACTCGGTCAAGCAAGGACATCTGAGATCCTGGAAAGAAAGTCCTTAGGGGCCCCTGCACCAATTACTATCACTCAGGGGACAGAAGGACTGCAGGTGCTGTCAGGGCCCTCCAGCCCCTAGTCTTGTCCAGGTGAAAAAGAAAGACTTGCTACATGGAAGAAGCCACACCATGGCTTGCTCCAGGCTAGCCCCATTCTAGCCCCAGCTGAGAGGCCAATACTGGGTTCAGATGAGGAACCCTTGTTTGTTTTCTGTTTATTTATTTATTTTTTTGAGACAGGGTCTCTTTGCAGGTCTGGAACTTTCTGTGTAGCCTAGGCCTTGAATGAGCAGAGATGCACCTGCTTCTGCCTCCTGAGTGTCCATCTCTGTTTTTGAGTAGTGTCTCATGTAGCCCAGGCTAGGTTTGAACTCACATTGTAGCTGAGGATGGCCTTGAACTTCTCCTATCTCCACCTTCCTTCTCAGAAGACAGGCACCTACCACACCTGGTTTCAGGAGAACTCTCAACTCTTGAATTCTTTCCTGTGCCCACAGATAGCACAAAGCCTGCCTGGGCCCTTATCCACTGTGCCCCACGCCCTCTGCTGAATAACCACGTCTGGGCTCTGCAGCCAGCCAGTGCCTGGGGGACCATGAAGGACTTCCAGCCTGCTGCCCTGAGCTCAGATACTTAAAAAAGAAATATCATTGGTAATAAGGAAAAAGTCACTGTGAACATAGCAGAAGGTATTTTCTTTGTTCCCAGTGTTCCCATTCTGTGGCTCCAGGCCTGAGAACGAAGCCAAACACTTTGCCTGTACATATGCCTCTCAAAGTCAGAGCAGCTAGAAGAGCCTGTTCTCCCCAGCTGGGAATGCACACTGTGTCAAGGGGCTTGGGGCTCAGGTAGGGGCCCCACACCTGCCTGTGGCTCAGAAATGAATGGAAATGTGTCCATTATATACTAAATATATCCTAGCACCAGTGGCCGGTGGGCCAGGGAGAGACTAGGAGCCCCATGTGCTCCTAGTTTGGTCTGTCAGAGGCTTTGGAAAGGAGGTACCACGCGGCCTGGAAAGGCAGGAAGCAACAGACACCCTTGCAGAGAGCATTCCTGGGAGGACTCATAGAGAGAAACTCACCGCCTGGCCAGAGAATGTGAATGCTGACAGCTAGCCACCTGCTTGATGCCTGCTGGAGGGAGCAGGGACACCTACCTGGACTTGAGACAGGAGGAATGTCTGACATGCTGAGTACTGGGGAATCCCAGGCATCTGGGCTCTGAGCTGACCACTCGTCCCCAGAGCACTGGAGCCCTTGCAGAACTTTCTAGAAAAGGGTAGAAGGGAATTTGCAAAGGGGACCTTCATGGGGCTGGGGACACACAGGCAGATAGGGATCCTTGGCTGGATGCTGTGGGCAGACAGGCACCCAGGGCTGAGTGGCACCGGAGACGATAGAGCTGGAGGGGCTTGCCATCCCCTGGGAAGGAGACACTAATGTCCCCAACACTTGGATCCTGAGACCCTGAAACAATTAATAACCCAGTTACTCCCAGCTTTTTTTTTTTTTTTTTTTTTTTTAAGTCAGGGTCTCACTTTGCAGCCCTGGATGACCTCGAGTCACTATACAGACCAGGTGAGCCCAGAACTCACAGAGCTCTCTGCCTGACTGTTCCTCTCAAGTGCTGGGGTTAGAGGTGTGTGCCACCATTACTAATCCGTGGTGCTGGGGTGGAGCCCAGGGCTCCGTGGAAGCTCGGCAAGAGCTCTCCACAGTGAGTTGCAGCCCCCCACCCACACACCTGTATTGGGGAGCAGGGTTCAAGCTGAGGGTCCAAGACATTTTATTTTATTTTTTTTCTGTTTTGGGGGACAAGGTCTCACTGTGTGACCCAGTCTGGTCTCAGCCCCGGGGTGCGGGAATGTCACAGTGAGACAACCCGTCCAGCTAGGTCTAGAACCTGCTACTAGACTCTGGCAATACCCATTGAGCACCTACTGTATGCAGCCCACGAGCAGCCACACGCTGTCCTCCTCAGCCTCATCTCGCAGCCCTACAGCGTCAGCGGCCAGACCCCAGTTAACCAAGAAGCCACCTGAAGGCTCCAGGGCCACCCCTGGTAAGAGGCAGGAAAGCAAGGGGTCACTGTCCACTCATTTCCTGTGTCTCTCGCTATCTCCGGGTCTCTGGCTCATCCAGGATGTCCGCTGCTGTCCACACACCCTGCCCCGATACACCCACCAACACCCACCCTGTCTTCGCAGCCTCCAGCCCATCACCCTGGGCTCTGACCCACGGCCCCTCCGGACAGGCTCTCCTGTGCCCCTACCCTCCACGCCCTTCTCCAGCCCGCCGCCCTCACCCCTGCCACCTTCCACCTCTTCCCTGTCTCCAAGAAGCTCCGCCTTCTTTTCCGGCCCCTGCCTCTAATCCCTTCTGCTCCAACCCCCTGATCCCATGGGCCCCTCCCTCCCGGCCCTCCAAAGGCCAGCCTTCCCTGCGCCTTCTCTACCCTGTCCCCCTCAGCCCTCCTCGCCCTGCGGTCCCCTCACCCTGCCTTCCAGTCCCCACTCCTTCCCAGGCCCCGCCCTCCGTCCCCTGCCCACCTCACCCCCGCTTCTTCCTTTTGCTCCCTCCCTCTGCCCCCCCAGTCCCTCCTCCTGGCCTCCTGGTGCCCTCCTCCCCTTCTTCTGCCCCTCACCCCATCCCTTTCCCCCCGCTTCGCCCTTGCTGGTTGCCCTCCCTGCTCCCTTCTGGGCTCTCCTCCTCCTC